GGAAGGGGTGCAAGAAGACAGAACAGATTTCTCAATCCCAGGAGCTTCCGTTAAGACCTTTAACATATTCTGTGCCCCTCAAGACCTTTAATTTCTTCATGAATTAAATAAAAGATCTGAGGTTCTACTACCAGCAGAAAAAAAAAATGAGTTGGGCATTCTACCTTTTGACCATGAAGTCCCCTGGAGTGTTTTAAATCAGCTGTGAAACACACTTAAAATGACTGATTGAATCATGCCCTATAGGAGCTAAAAATAGGATAATCTGGTTTCTGGGAAGTGGCAGAGTAAATAAAGAATAATAAAACCTGTCACCCATGCTGAGCTCTCTGTGCCTGGGTCTGCAGCAAGGCAGGATCCTGTGTGGTTTTATGATTAACACTTTTTAGTGTAGGTGTAACCATGAATTCAGATTGGAGGGGAAGGAATAAAAGAAGTGGCTGATGAACAAGTTCTAACAGCAGCTGGCTATTTTTGCATGGTGCTGTTCTCTTTTTCTTCTCATGTAATTTCTGAGAGTCTGCCTCTGCTTTAACCATCAGGCTACCCAGTTATGAGTTGGTCTTTTTCCATTGCATTCCAACGTGTAAGAATCCTCCTGAAGTACGTGGAAAGTTGAATTTGTTCTGTTTCAGGGTTGTGTGAGGAAAAAAACCCAGATTTCAGTTTCCCTCTTGGAACAAGGATCCCTGTCCCTCCTGCTGGGAATGGCCCTGGCACATGGCAGCTCCCAGAGGTGGCAGCAGCCATCTGCTGTCCTCCTCCCTCACATGTGCTCTTCTCTTGCTGATTTAACATCAGTACTTTGCTCCATTTTACCTGATGGGTTCAAAAATCCCTCATCTGTCTCCTCTCTCTGCCTGACCACTCCTGCCTGCTGTCCTGTCCTGAGCTGCTGCTCAATGGGAATTCCTCATCCCTCCCTGGGGCTGGGAGAACCAGGGCTTCAGTGGGAATTCCTCATCCCTCCCCGGGCTGGGAGAACCAGGGCTTCAGTGGGAATTCCTCATCCCTCCCCGGGGCTGGGAGAACCAGGGCTTCAGTGGGAATTCCTCATCCCTCCTCAGGGCTGGGAAAAGCAGGGCTTCAGTGGGAATTCCTCATCCCTCCCCAGAGATGGGAGAACCAGAGCTTCAGTGGGAATTCCTCACCCCTCCCCGGGCTGGGAGAAGCAGGGCTTCAGTGGGAATTCCTCATTCCTCCCCAGGGCTGGGAGAAGCAGGGCTCTGAGCCCTGGCTGCTGATCCAGCCTAAACTGCCCTGCTTAAAGCCTCTCTGCAGGAAATGCTGCTGGGACAAGCTTCAGTTCCCATTTCCTGGCAGGAGATGGGACATGAGTGGCACATTCCTGGCCTGGCCACAGGGCCACGGTTGGAGCTGGGCTCTGCCTGCTCATTCTGTAACCTGGTGCTGCAGGCAAGGGAGGAATTTCTTCCTGTAGACCTCACTCTGTGCCTTAAATCAATTCAGTGGAAGGAGGAAAGCTTCAAATACTGATCAATTTTGATGCCCCAGATTAGGAATTGCTGTTTCTTTTTTGGTAATCTGGGCCTGTTCAAAGTAAGTTCATTAAAGGAAAGTGAAATTGAATAATTCTGAGGCTGCTCAGCTTTTTCTTCTTATATCAATACTAAAGAGTATTACAGTACAATGTACAAGGAGTATTTTTAAATAATGAATAGTAACTGCACTGGTAAAATTATCCAGTATTTCACTTAGCTGGGAAAAACAGAAGCCATAGAAATGTGAATAAAAACTGAGTGAACTTCTCATTGTTCAGAGAGCTGGCTGCTCCAAACTTGCCCTTTAGGAATACAGGCCCTGCTCAATACTCATTCAAGTAATTCCTGGCTTAACCCAAGACAATTTTGTCATAAAATAGAACAAAGAGAATCTTCCTGCTTTAATTATTCATAAGCGATTTGCTCTGGCTGAGTGCAGTGAGATGTGATTGACCCTGAGAGGGAATTGTCTGGGGAGCTGGAAGTGCAAAATGAAAACTTTATTTGATGTAACAGATTTTTAAATGCCAAATAGAAAAGGGAGGGGAAAATCTGTTTAAAAGGGTGGGGAAAAATATTTTAAAAAGGCACTGAGAATGGGAAAATGCTGAATTCCCAGGAATGTTGTCTGGAAGCACAAACAGTGCAGCTCCATCTGGTGGTACACAGCCCATGAAGTGGTCAGGGCAGGGAGAAACGTGTGTGCCAGAGCAGCCTGGGCTGGGTTTGGCTGCAGTTCGTCCTTCCTGCCTCTCCTGGGTCCGCTGAACGTCTGCAGATTTTCCATAAGGCCTTACAAACAAAACAAGCTTTTCCCAATGTTTACTTTTGGAGGGATTTTCTTTCCCAGTGTTTTATGTAAAAACCTCAGCTGGTGAGGATGGAGAGGTTAAAAATAAGCCAGAGTTAACTGGAGCAGGGGCTCTTGGACAACTTTAAAACCAAGTCTTATTAGAAAGGACTCCCTGCATTTCTCTTCAGCTCCTGTCCCCAGTATTCCTGAGCTCCCTCTCACTTTTTTTGCCACGCTCTGTCACAGCCCTGATGAGAATCCCTGCTTTTCTCAGCCTCCCTCCTCTGCTTTAGGTAGGAATGAGGATCTAGAATTAAAATAATGAAGGTATTTTGATTGGCAGGGCGCTCTTGCTGATCTCAGCCTGGTGCCCTGTGCTGTGGCAGGAAAGTCCCTCTGCAGTGGAAATTTGGATTTTGCTGTCACACACACTCCTGTTGCACCTGAGAGAACCATCACAAACATTCTAAACCCTCGTTTATGAAAGTAAACATATTTTAAGATGTATAGAATTCTAATATTTAGGGGTTTTTTTCTCTTTTGCACAATCAGGGTTGCTGTTGAGTGAGGAGCAGTAGGCAGCAGCAGCAGCAGCTCCTTTCCTACCCTGGCTGGTGCTTGGCAGGGTGAGTCATCCTGGAAAACACGTAACTGCATATATTTATCTCAACTTCCATTGATTTTTCACCAGAGTTCCTTATCTTTGCTCTATTGGTTTACTTCCTGGGATATTATAAGCAAAACTGAAAGAAGGTCCAATGGGAATAATCAAGTCTGATCCTTGGCTCCCTGGAGCTGCTGCTCAGTCCAATGGGAAGAAGCAGACAGGATTTGGAGTGAATGGGAGACAACATCTGACATTTAAAATTACTCAAGATTTGTAACTCTGAGTTGGTTTGTTCTGTGTTCTCTTCCACACAGAAGGTGCTCAGAATTCCCTGTTGGTACCTGAGGGTGTTTCACTTCACCTTGGGAAGCCCAACTTCATCCCCCCTTCTGCCAGTAGGAAAATAAAAGTGACAGTGGGTGGTATTAGCTGGAGTTGAAGGTATCCCCTCCTGGAATCACTGAAAATTCAGCCTCACACTGACTGATCAGTGGTTTTCATGTGTTTAGGAATTTAACAATTCCTTCCACCCTGAAAGCAACAGAAAGCAGGTGAGGAGAGGAGCTGTGAGACACTGAGCTCTGGGGAGCACCAGTTCCACCTTCCCCCTGGCCCCTGCAGGTTTTTTCAGAGCCCAGGAGCTGTTTGACTGCTGAAATTGCTGCTCCTCTTTGCCTGCTGGGGATCTGAGCCTTGAATGAACAATAAGTATTCAGGGAGTGACAGCTCTGGGAGTGATGGACACCAGTTTGCACTAATGAGAGATCTGGGAGCTTTGCCAAGGATGACTGCATCACTTAATTGAACAATTCTATATTTCATCTGCCTCTTGCATCAGACGTGTGGTTAACCCACTGCAAGCTGAAATCTTGGTAAATCTTGGCCCAGGTGACAGAGTTGCCCAGGGAATGAGCTCTGAGTGAGCTCTTGAGGAAATCCAGAGAGCCAAGAACATTCAGCATGGAGAAAAACGAACGAGATTCATTGGCCAGGCTGGTGTCTGTCAGTGGCAGCTCTAAAACGTGATGTTGGAATTAAAAAAGGATCCTTTGGAGCTGTTCTCTCTCCCTCCCTCCTCCCAAGGCTTATTTCAATCAAGTGATAGCATCAGTTGTGGTGGCAGGAAATGGAGCAATTACAGATAGACCTCAAGGAACAGCTTATCACAACTGAAGGTTAAACTTTCATAAGCAAAAGGATCATTCCTGTTCTTTGAAGCCTGTCACTGTTCTCTTCACCAAGAGTAACTTAACCAGAAATACCAGGTGGGAGCCAGGCAGCCTCTGACCTCAGCTCTGATCTGGAAGTGAAAGTTCCTCATCGAGCTGTAGAGCTTGAATTAACAGAGCTAATTTATCTTTCTCCACTAAAAAAAAAAAATTAAAAATAAATCCAAACTCTTGGGCCTCTTTTATGGTGTGTCAGCTGTATTCACCTTTTGAGTCCAAATTAGCCTGTCAGGTCTTGGCACTTGAAGCAGCCCCATCAATAAAATCTGGTGCATTGTGGATGGAAAACAGGCAGTTAAGGTTCATGGTACCTCTGCCAAGAATTCCAAAACCCTGCTGTCCTCGTGGTTCTGAAGAGCTGAACTTATTTATTTATTTACTTATTTATTATTTTCTTATTTATTTATTTACTACTTCTAGTGCTTCACTGTTTGTATTTGGAATGGGAAACAGCAGCATCAGCAATATTTGCTTTTGCAGGGTGAGGTTTGTAAAGAAGCCTCTTCACCTCAACCATTTTCTTATTTTTTTTAAGAAATCCATTAGTTGTTAAACCTGTGTGTGCCCATTTGAGCCCCTTTGATAAAGCAATGCCTCCATGTCTGTCCATCTAAAAGGGAAAAACTCCCAAAAGATTTCATCACATTCCTGTAACTGTAATACATTCAGGTGTGAGCCAGAGACAGCACAAATATTCTTAATTTTACATTTTATTCTAATTAGA